TAGGTTCGGGCGAGGGCATGTGTGGAGCTATGGCCGTGTTTGTGTTGCTGTTTTGTGTGAGTCATCTAGCTGCTGACACAATGACTGTTGGATCTTGGGAGTGTACGATAATCAAATTGGGAGATGCAGCATACCACGATATCCTGGCTTCGGCTGGGCTGGAAATAACCCTTTTGCTGTCCTCCGCTCTTTGCATCAGTGGCTTCCTAGGTTCGAGCGAGGGCATTTGTGTAGCTGAGATGTGTGTCTACGTGAAAGAACATGTAGAGAGAGTCGTATTGGCATTCGCATCAAGCGCATTGCGCATTTTTCGAATTTTGGCCCCCTTCCAGGGACCTTGATTTTTACCCGCTGGCACTGACATCTTTTAATTGGTCAGCCGGTTAGCGCGGTCGATGCTAATAATAAAAACACACACAGTCTCCCCCCCGCCCATTTCTTGACAACGTTTTACAGGGGAATTTCAACAGGCCACCCCCGCAGACAATCAGGGATCGAACTAAATGTGTGTCCAGTCAGCTGGAATACTCTAGCTTTGAAAGAGAATGTTCTACACAAGTGTACCATGTAGAATACTGCTGTTGTAGCAAGACGAAGTACGTCGTACGAACGCACACGAAGGTGAACCGTCACGTCGATCGGTTCGGCGCTGGTTCAGTTTGGGCTCTTTAATGGGAATGGACAGCACAACGGGTTTTCGGTATAGTCTACGTCTCTCCTTGATGTGAGAGCAATCACAGAGAGGATTGCACGCATGGATGTGGGAGTGGGCGAGGATCTTGGGGTGTGAGTTCGTTAGGCGTTGGTGGATCTCTTGTGGAACCGGACGGCGGCTGTGTCGGGAGGAGCCTGGGCGGCGGCTGTGCGGGGGAAAAGGTGTGGTATCCTCTCTGGTGTGCCTAGTATAGCCCCGAACATATACAAGGAACAGGAGCTCTGTTGACGTTTGAGATCGAGATGCACACGCCGTCAAGGGTGGCATGTCCAACCACAAACCAACGTGCAACGCCGTGGCGAACGAAGTGCAGGTCTTTTGCTCTTGCTCGACCCAGCAGAACGTCTACCGGGTACATGACTTCACAAGCCAGACACCTACATGTATGTGTGCATCGGAGATACAGCAGTCAGTACCACCAATGAGGGAGAGAGGTAGATACCAGGGGGCGTGCTTTTCCTCCATCGAGTAGACCTACAAGTACGTGTGTTGTACATTTTTTGCAAAGTTGGTCACAACTGCGGTTGTGATTTCCATTCCGCTCTTACCTTCACGTTTGCGCCGAAAATGTTCCAAACTGCTACAAAAACCGCTCAACATGCATGCACCATCAGGTCCAGGCCAGGTCGCTCGGCGGCGATAGCGAGGTTGGTTATGATGGACTAGGCGCTAAGGAGGAACCCGGTGCGTCAATCCTTGGCTGCAGGGGGTGCTTTCAGCGAGCACTGGGACAGGCCGCCGCACCAGTTGCACATTTGCTGGTAGGTGTGCGCTGTTTACAGGTGGGAGAGCACGAAGAACGAAGCAAGCGTCTCCACCGCAGTATCCACCCCAGACAAACTACACTGTACTATAAATGCCATTGCTCGTTTCGCAGGGAGTGCAAAGTGCGGCGGGAGGGGAAATCAGAATCCCATATCACCGGACACTGAACACCAACAAGACACGATCCTCAATGTTTGAGATTGATGGAGGTCTGTGTGCCTCTTCTCCGTGCACTGCCGGCGGTGAAGGTTGCGTAATATCGCACACCCGCTGTAGGGATGTTTTAAAGCTTGACTTCTCTGCTGCAACAAGCAGTGACGACGCCGGAAATGGCGGCGTTGGACCCGCCTCATCGAGAGCTTTCCGAACCTGTGTGATTGATTTTGGTATCCTCTCGTCGTGGAATAATCGAGCTTTCAAAATCGGTCGCGAGGGGGTGTGATATCTTACACACCCTACTGTAGTCTGCGGCCCGGAGTCCCCCCCCCCCACCTCAACCCCGCACCTGATTTTCCACGACGTTTCCGCCGGGCTAGCTGCGGGAAGGGATGTAACAATTTACAATCGACTCTCTCCACCATCGAGGTCTGCGTCCTACGTTCTTCGCACCCGCTGCTGTGAGGCTTTCAGCCTTGCCGAAAACAGCTGCTGCTTCTCCGAAGCGTACCGGTACTTCACTGCTGTAGTACCGCAAAGACGCTGTTGCTTTCCGTCAGTGAGAATGGGAACAAAAACCTTCGAGTCTGCGCCATCGGCAGACAGATGTTCGAGGGGTTCATCCTTAGGGCAATATTTTGTTGCAGGGTGTGCAAAAGTAGTAGGGCCGGAGTGGGCGAACTGTTATTATGCGATCACCACCAAGAGAAGACCGAATCGCGCGTTTTCTTGCAGACGGCCTGGGCAGACCCGGCGGGACCAGAGGACGCCATGGTGGAGGACAACGGGAACAACCACCAGGGCTCACTACTTCTCAGCGGTGAGCTGCAGCTGCTATGCCTCAGCGTGTGCGGAGAGATTTGAACTTTCAACTGCACTCTGAATTCCGTGTGTACGTGTAGTGTGATATGGTTCGGTGTGTCTTAGAACCCGAAACCAAACCATGGGGCTAAAACAAGTAGACTAGTAGCCATCTGAATCTTCTGACTAATAGTCTGACTACATACCTGATGGTTTGATTTCGGCTTGTAAAAATGGTGTGGCCGTGAGTGCGAAACCCAGGCTGAACACTTGGTGCCCGCCTTGGTCAGCTAGAAACATACACGAGCGAGGGACCGTCTCTGGTTGTGTGCGCAAGAGGAGTAACAAATTGGTCGCGTGCTTTTTGCAGTGTCCGGCAGATCGTCCCGTGACGCGAAGCGTGTTGCAGTTTCCGGCAGATCGGTGCTGTCGGGAGCCCATGCCCTTTGCCGCCCCTGAAAACATGCGTTGGTTTTGGGGTCCCAGTGCGTGCGCACAAGGACGAAAGCAAGCGACATTTCTGATGTTTCGAAAGGGGAGCCAGTGGGCGAACAGTCGAGGATCCCGCCTGGTGAACCGCAGAAGCAGAGAAACGTGTTTCATCAAGAAAACAAATAAATGTTTTCCGCCCGTTCTTTGTTTGTTTTAATAGGGAGATGCGGTGGTTGTTTGGCACAGGAATAACGTCATCGCATTCAAAGCAGCAAACCAGTAGCGAACCTGCCGCGGTGCCCCGCCGGTCTATTAGTACAAAACTAATAGTAGCCTCGTTTTTCTACGAACCTGACCAATGCTGATGTTGCTCGCCACGCCGCTCTTTCGACGACAACGCTTGCGATGCTGCTGGGGGCTGCTCTATACCATCGGCATGCGCCTATTATCCTTATATCGCATGGATTTGCTACTGGTTTCAGAGAGGACCTTCTGCAGCGCCAGATCGGGGGGGGTCTCCCACGGAGACGAAGAGCAAGGCGCAGGGGTCGTCGAACATCTGGAACGTACGGCCAGGAAGGGGGGCGCTCCGCGTCACAAGCGCAGGCTGGCAACGTGAGGTTTCACCCCCAAATTTACAGGGCACCGCTTCCAATGCCTTCTCGATTTTCAACTAGAGCCGGCCAGAGTTCATCGACCTCCCTATCGGCTTGGCAGTATACCCACCTCCGGTTCAAAGCATGCGCGGGGTGTTTGGAATTACCGGACTTCCTCGGAATGTTTGCTTGAGTCTGGCCTGAATGTTGGTTGAAGCTCTTGGTGCTTATCACCCCCACCCGTCTCCCCCACTTCCCGGCGTAAGGTTTGTTTCACTCGCATCGACGGCTGACGAGGATGACGTGGGACTCGAGGAAGGAGAGGGGGCCCAGTCGCTGGCGGGTCTCGTGTGGGTCGGGCAGCACGAGGCACAGGCGTATAGGGTCAATCTGGCGCTGCGCCAGGACCAAGACGCGGTGGGTGGACATTTTATCGAGGTGCCCCCACGGCGATTCCAGACGACGTTTGTGTTTGATGAGATTGCCATGTTGCGGCTACAGCAGCGAAGCTCGGCAGCTGCGCGGCGGCTGACACAACGGCAGTAGTACGAGCTCACGGCAAAATACCCGGTTACTTCGGACGATTTCTCGGCAGGCGGGATGACGCAGATTAGAGAGCACGGGCGCTCCGTAAAGATAGCCCCGAGCATAGCAGTACGTCAGGTGGTATTGTCAAGGGAACACGGTATATTTCGCGCAAATAGATAGATACCACGAAATACACTTGAGCGTGAGAGCACGCGTAACTGTATAACTCCCCCCGCCCCCCCCTGGTGCCCCCCCCGGTGTTGCCATCGGGGTTGGGTTTTCGTCGCTTGGCAACGACGTTGTAAAACAAGCCGCCCCCCCCGGTGTTTGCCATCGGGGTTGGGTTTTCGTCGCTTGGCAACGACGTTGTAAAACAAGCCGCCCCCCCCGGTGTTTGCCATCGGGGTTGGGTTTTCGTCGCTTGGCAACGACGTTGTAAAACAAGCCGCCCCCCCCGGTGTTTGCCATCGGGGTTGGGTTTTCGTCGCTTGGCAACGACGTTGTAAAACAAGCCGCCCCCCCCGGTGTTTGCCATCGGGGTTGGGTTTTCGTCGCTTGGCAACGACGTTGTAAAACAAGCCGCCCCCCCCGGTGTTTGCCATCGGGGTTGGGTTTTCGTCGCTTGGCAACGACGTTGTAAAACAAGCCGCCCCCCCCGGTGTTTGCCATCGGGGTTGGGTTTTCGTCGCTTGGCAACGACGTTGTAAAACAAGCCGCCCCCCCCGGTGTTTGCCATCGGGGTTGGGTTTTCGTCGCTTGGCAACGACGTTGTAAAACAAGCCGCCCCCCCCGGTGTTTGCCATCGGGGTTGGGTTTTCGTCGCTTGGCAACGACGTTGTAAAACAAGCCGCCCCCCCCGGTGTTTGCCATCGGGGTTGGGTTTTCGTCGCTTGGCAACGACGTTGTAAAACAAGCCGCCGCCCCCGGTGTTTGCCATCGGGATTGGGTTTTCGTCGCTTGGCAACGACGTTGTAAAACAAGCCAATTCACTTCGTGAACTCGGCAACCAGGTTACCGTTCTTTTTTTTTTCCTCCGTTTATTTTTTTTGGGCGGTAACCATAATGGTCGAGTAGATCATGTTGTGCGGGATCGAGAACTTTCACTCCGCGTAAGGGGGATGATCGCACCACGTTGTGTTAAAATGGTCAAGCACCCTCGAGGCAGTTACACAGTGCTTACAACTGTCTCTGGAAGTGAAAGCACCAGAAAATAAATTAATTCATACGCAGCTGTCATCCGTACGCAAGGAAGTAAGCACAAGATGCCGAACACCCTTAGCAGGATGCAGCGCACCCTTCATGCGACTCGCCGAATATCTCACGGCGCTTCGCGCTTGGTGATGTGAGAGCCTGGTCCGGTGAGAAGCCGGCGTGCTCCGTCCCGGCTTTGTAGGGATGCGAGGTCAATGGTCTAACGGCTACGGCATGCACGACTATGAGTACACCTCCCCCCCTCACCTCCCCGGTGACCGAAATATCCTCGTTGGGTGCGCCGCCCGGCGTTACCACCCTTCTTGCGTGCTCGTTCGTCAGAACGTTCTGGCGATCCTTCTGCGCTTCTTTCGAGTACACTTCGGCGGAGAGTTCGAGCTCAGCCCGGACAAGGCTGTAGTTTCGATCTCTCGACAGGGCGACGGCAACCTGCCGGAGGAAACGGCCAAGTGTCTGGAGCATGCTATCCACGTGTGCCGAGAAGGAGCCGAGGTACTCCTCGAACAGACAGGGCAGTAGGAAATATTCCCACCGCCTTTTTCAAGGTCGTCTTGCTAACGCGACCTGACGCATCCGGACTCGGTCAGTCCCACGGTTGACCTTCATCACGAGGGTGAAGGTTTGCGAGCGCAAACATCTCGGTAGTTTGTCTACAGCCTCGAATTTTCAACCAAGGGGACCATGAACCATGGCAAACGAATCCGCATGAGCAGGAGAGTGGTCCAGTTGCTTCGCCCGTGGCCAATCTTGGTAGACCTGAAGCATGCGCCAACAACCAACAATCTTTTCGTCGTAAGTGTTTGTCTCGGATCGCCATCGAAGCACCCCGCTCCCACCCTGTGCTCACCGTCCCCGTTGGTTGACCTACACACGCGTCGATAGCCGCGCGAGCTGACGCTGTTCCGAGCCAGGCAGGCTTGTAACGAAGAAGTAGCTGACGGAAAGTTTTTATTTCAAGGGATTTTTCCATGGCCAGACCACGGCAAAGACCTTTGCAGCAGCTGTGGCGTTGTGGGCGGCAGGGTTTCCAAGGTGAGCCGTGTTTCATCATGTTCTTTTCGTTTTGAAAAAAACTTGAAATCTGGTACATTTTCGTGTATTTGTTTCTTGGTATGTAGGCTCGCAACCATGATTGTCTCGTGTCGCGGGTTGGATGACCAGCTGCTGCTGCCCCGAAGCACGCGAAGCTGCGTCGAACCCAGCGAACCGCAACAAACACATGTGAGCACACGGCGCTCTTCCCCTCCAGTTACGGAACCCCTCTCCCCTGCGGCCATACAGTACAAGCCACCACTTAACCCTCCTAGTACTGCAAGCTCACACGTTGGGGGCACAGCACTCGCATTCCTGTTTACCGCACCGTGGTCTTCACTGTGCTCCGCTGCGTGAACCGTGCGTGGGAACCTTGGTTTACCATGCCTGTGTGAGGTGGTACGCTGTGTGATATACTGCTGTGTGATGCCTGCGTGCCTCTCCTGGGCCTGTGACTTGCTCTGCACAATCTCCCTAGCCGCGGGTCCCCTTGTTGGTAAAACTGTACATAGCCTAGTACTGGAAACATATGGTGACTTGGCTTCAGAATAGAAAGTGTCCCCAGTGCATTTGGGGACACTTTCCGTACTGAAGCCAAGTCAGTCTTCGGCCCTCAGGACTGTACAGCCTCTCCAAATGAACGAACGCGATTTTTCGGGACTCATAACCTCCAACTAACTGAGAACTAGGAGGGTTTAACGTACCTGGGAGTTAATATTTCAGACGCCCGAAAGGAGAACTACATTAACTTGGCCACACTCAAAAATAATCCTCGAGCAAGAATAAGAGATTCTCAAGTGATGCGCTTTCTGCACATGATTGCCCGTCATCTTTGTCGAAACTGCTTCGAAGGACAAACCTGTATTTATTCCCTTTGGCGCTTCGTCTCTCAAAAAAGATGGTCCTCAGTCACCCGGGGAGAGGAGTTGACGGCGTTGACAGCGTTGGCGGTTTGCCCAACTACCCTCGCTACGCTGGCCCTCCCTGGATAGACGTCGAGGCGTTCAAGGACAGGAAGATCAAGACTGTGCAGCTGTTCGGGCTTGACCACTGCGTGCGGCATGCGTTCGAGCGCGTCCTTCCAGAGCACCCGAACAAGATGGAGAGGTCTCTCGAGTTTGGGTTCGAGGTGGGCGGACTCAGCAGCGTTGCGAGCCTGCGCGTGGACAACGCCACTGTGAGTGCCACCGACTGCGATTCGTTGCGCCGCACGAAACCGCCGTGTTGGTTGTCTCGTGACTAAGGGGAGTTCTTGGTAACACGCCGATTTCTTATTTTTTCTTGTGGTTTGGACCAATGGCAGTGATCGAACCGAACACCTTATGACAACAAGGACATGTGTGAAGTTTGTAAAACGATAAACTCGCCGAGGGGAAGGGTTCGGTTGACCAGCGCCTACACTCGCCTCGGGGTCTGCGCCTGAAGTAAGGGCTCGTGGCAGCTTGAGCTGTCACCAGCATCTTCGCACGGAAGAGCGTCAACCGTTGTAAGGACGGCTACCGTCTTTGTATAGTTGAGTTATGCTGGAATTGGCGGCGCATATGCATATGTATGGGCGATACCACACGTTTTCCGGACACGTCTACCAAATTTCACATCGGGTCCATGAATGCGTTTTTCTTTTTCGCGATCTTTGTTGTTCGCTTTAAGATCGAGGTGGAAACGGAACGCGGAGTCCTGCGCGTGGTCGGCCATCCCGCCGCGGTGGAAGAGCTTTTCGCCCGGGCCGTGAAGCTGCTGTCAGAGGCTCTGCCGGCGCTCGTCCAGTGGGTGAGTTCGTCGAGTACCATGAGGCATGCTACCACCCCCGAGAGGGAAGATCATTGCCCTCTCCCCCGTCGCCCTCCTTTTCCGCAACACCCCTCCCGTTGACATGGAGTAGTAGCTGATTCTCTTTGAGAGAAGGATTACTCTTTGTAGCTGGCGGCGAAACGCTCTTCACGCCCGGTCTGGCACGCTAACAACCTCGGGCACGGGCGGGTTGGTTGCGGCGGACCGCCTCAACGCAAAGCACTTCGCTCGCCCCAACGACGAAAATATCCCCTCTGCGATATGTGGCGATGGACGGACGTTCGTGTGCGAACGTCTGTTGTATTGTGGCTGTCCTTCTGAAGGTCGACATGGTGGACAACGGCACCTTGCGACGGCTCAGCACGGACGAGGAGATTGAAGCCATGACGCGAGCGGGCGGCGTCGCCAAAGGACAGGTCAACCTGGCACCGATGTGGCACAAGACGCGCATGTTGGTGCAGCTGCTGGTGCAGGGAGGGAACCAGCAGGCGATGGACCTATGCGTGAGTGGGAACGCAGAGACTCGACGTTTAGGTCCAATGTTTTCACCAGTTTGATTGGGCTTGTAGATTGTATTGGGGCTTTGTGCAAGACACCGGCGACAAGCGATGTACTTCACTATGCTGGGGAATTCTGCGCCTTTCTCTTTCCCATTTGTGTTGCGCGCCTCTGCGCGCGATACGCGGGACTCCTCCACCCTCGCTGTGCTCGGCGAGAAGGGTAACGAACGGCGTGCCACGTTTTTCACCGTGAAACCTGCGGGGTCGTGGGGCAGAAGGTCCGGTCTGCCCTCGTCCCGTAGAACAAAAACATCATCGGTCGCGGCGATGTTGATTTCCCTGAGCTCTGAACATGTGTATCGCGACCGACCGTGTTTCTGCCGCGGATAATACCCCCGCGCCGTGCGCCACGTCCTCAAAAGTGCCTTGCAATCAGAAATCGCGTCATGAAGATCTGCGAGCGAAACGTGAGCGTGTACGTAGGGCCCATCGCCATCAACAAGTCCACGACCGTCCGACCCCGCAAGAGAGCGGTTGACGGCGTAAGCAAGGAGCACCAGCAAGTGTTCGTCGTCGATCTATCGGAGGCGGTCGGGGTCGACCTGTGGCTCGATGGCCATTTCGTCAGAGGAGAGGTTGACGACACGGCCGCCCGGGAGGGGTGCCAGGCCCGGCTAGAGGAACAGGTATCATATGTAAAGAAGATGAGAGCGATTTCTTGACAGCAAACGACGAAGACCACAGCGCTCAGAATGTTTTCGTGTAGAGAGAGAGAGAAAGAGAGGGCAAAGAGAGAGAGAAAAGCGTGTGCTTCATCCACCTGCTTTGCCTAGTAAGAATTGCTGCTACCGGTTCTCGGGTCAACGCGCTCTATCTAGCCGCTCCCCGCAGCCTCTTGTTCGATCGTGATACGTCCGCAGAGCAGGATCTTTAGTAGAGTGGTGAAAACACTGTTGGCAAGAAAATGTGTCTATTAATAGGGTCGCGTACTTCGTTGCGCCAGCAGGCAAACAACCCACACTCCCCTCAACCCAACTTTATGTGTGTTGCGGGGAAACAAGCTGCCCTCGGCAAAAACGAACTTGCTGGTTTGGTCGCGACAGCAGTCTGTGGTCTAAAGGGAGTGCAAACCAGGGAACAGTTCACACCCTGAGAACGGTGGCATAACACAGCGAGATATCGCGCCAAGGGTGGCGGTGCTGTGCAGCGCTGAAAGTCCTCATTCGTAAACATTTCTTCCTGTTTCCCTTTCTTGATCTCCTTTTGTCTTGGATTTGCTGCTGGGGTCCTGCAGAAGAGTATCCTGCTACAAGAGCTCGGCATTCGCGAAGAAGAGGCTACAGTGGGGATGATGGTAAGGTCCCGCCCTGTCGACCCAATGTTGCGCCTGGAGTGTCGCCGAAGACATCGATATCGCCTTGCCTGTTCCCCGTGTGTAGGTGACGGCGGAAGTGAACCGCTTCGAGTGCGGCTAGACTTTTGTTGACGCTCTCCGCCCTGCCTAGGGTAGTCAAGCGACGAGATAACAGCTCGACACTTCATGCCAACGGTACTTGCGACGTAGAGGGCCGTATACAGGGAGCAGACTCGGTCATCCGAACCCATTGTAAGAAGGCCACAAGGTGGTTCACTGAGAACGCACACAGGACGGTGGAAACAAGCCACAATAGAAAACACCATGTCATACGGAGGTCGGCCGATTACATTTTCCGTCCCTCGGGAGCAACAAAGTGACCCCCCTGGGTGGCGATACAACGCACACGGGCGTCGAAGACCCGCACTCGCAACACCGCCCGCGCTGCTGCGTGCTGCTGCTTGTCGGCCGCAGTTGAAACCGCCGCGCGGGAAGGGAAAACCGCCGCTTGTAGCTTTCGGAGTGCACTACCAGGAGCGGGACCTTGTGAGTGGAGCCAGCCCTGCGGCTGAGGGTGGTGGCTGGCCGGTTCGGAACGTCGCAGATTGTTTATCGCGGCAAGACGCGTCCCGCCGCGATGTTGAGCCAGTAGGAATCGTAAATCGCCCTGGAAATTTGTAGTTAGGGCTACGCCCCGCACTGCAGCACTTCACAAGTAGAGCTTGTGCGCGCAGGGGTCCCACGCCGAGCAGCAACCGTTTCATCGCATCCAGCTAGTTACCAACAATGGTAGTGGCATCAGGCCCTCTTGCCCCAGTACGGTGCCGGAGAATACAGATGGCATACCCAACAATGTACGGTGTGTGGCATACTCAATCACGCATTTGACGTAGCGCGGAATACCGTGCGTCATGTGTTCGTCAGGGGAATGGAACACCATATTTTCCCTACAACTTAGTAATACTGCACCTAGAAAGAATGTTTGCCCCCTTCCCCCCCCTCGCCCTTCCTTTGTCTCCCACAATCACCATTAGCTTCGTTGATGATATCACCGGGTCTACCAACAACCGTCTCTGTCCGTACTCTCTGGCTGATTAGCGTCGCCGATTCTGGCATCCCGCTCGCCCTTCGTCCCAATTTCCCGTGACATGCAACGCTCGTTCGGGTTCTTTGTTGGGTCATCAGCCCGTGCTGGAGGGATTCCTGGCCTTCTTCCGGGCGTGCTTCGGAGAGGATATCGTGCGGGATAGCGAGAAGTCTATGGTCTCCGTCGTCGAAAGGGGCGACTACCGCACGACCGAGTCGGTCGCCAGATACCTGGAGCACGGGCTCCGCGTGTGCCGGGAGGAAGGCGTTAAGGTACGGCACTTCCACCAACCGAGGAGCACTAGTAGTAGGTTTCTTGGGGGGCATTTTCGGAAGAAAGGGTTGGTTGTAGAGTGGCAGGTCTTTGTGTGCGTACGTGTGTTTGGATTTTTCGCCCTCAAGCATGGTCAAGCATGCACGTCCGTACGGAATGCGATAGATAATGCGTAGGGGGGCAAGAGAGAGGGTTGGGGGAAGGGGAGAGAGAGGGAGGGAGCGAGGGGGGGGGGGGGAAGGGGGT